TTTTTTTTTTTTTTCCCCTGGAGAAATCAGGATCTTAGGGTCTTTGAGGGTAATTAAACTCTGCCTGACTTTTATTTTAGCTTATGATGAGGAATTTTGAGTGGTAAATGTCTCATTGTTTCGAAAGCCGGTGATTCCTTACATAAATCACTGTAAAATATATTCCCTTTAGAGATAGTTCTGCCTCTGTGTCTTCTACAAAAAATATTCTTCTCAAGAGACCAACGAACCTGCTGCCTGGGACTCTGATCTCTTCAGCTCTCAGAAAGTAATTGTCATTAGACCTAGTTAATGCTCAGTTGTCCTTGTGCCAGATGCTGCAGGAAGTGATTCAGCAAGTCGAATCCTTTCCTCTGGCTCATTAACAGATCAGAGCTGTTCAAGTAGGACCTTCAGAGGTTTTTTTCCCAATGAAATGTAAAACTTAAACCCTTCATGTGTTTTTTTTCTTAAAGGATGACATGGCACATCTTTAAAAAGGCTGGTTATCTGTGGCAACCCTGGTTTTGAAATGTAACTCAGAAGAACACCTAAGTCCATTAGAGCCCAGCTTTCCCCAGCAAACTAATCGTGTTATCCCTTTTAGGGTGAAAAAACCCTCCACTAGAATCAAAGAAACGACAAGAACTGCAACCATATTATTTCCTGACGTAATTTCCATTGGAAGGCTGATCTAAAGTATTGGCCTAGATCTGTTCAAGAACAGATACACCTTTGTTGTTGTGACAACGTTATTTTTCAGTTTTTGCCATCATTTTATTTGTCACATTATGTGGGCATCTAGAAATTGCAGTATATACCATCATTGCTCAGATACTACTTTCACTTACATTCCCCTTTCGCAAGCAATAGCTCATGGTATCTCTATTACCTATCATAAACTTGAACATTATGTTCCTAAAGTATTAAACAGCAGCTTTTTAATCTCAAAAATGGTTGCTTTAGCAAGAGATAAAATGATCCCTAAAGTTTATAGCGTAATGGAAGCTTTACCCTGGCTATGACTTACACACAGTAACTATATAGATACGTAAATAGTGTCATCCTGGGAAGAAAATGATGTAATTCACACCTTCTTCATGTGGATAAAGGGAATTATCCATGGGAGTTAGGTCGCTCCATTAGTGGGGCTTCTTTTTTGTAAAAGTCACGATATGAACGTAAATCATGATTAATTTGGGTTTGACTGTGAGAAGCAGGAGAGTTGATCTCAGTCTCATTTCAACCACCCACGTGTAATACTGCCACAGTAATCAATCATTAATTCAATCTGTAGAGTGACGTGATCTACAAATATTAAAACTGAATTGATTTGGACTGGAATATGGTACTTATTTTCAATGTACTTTTTTTTTTTCCTCTTGAATTGCAAATGTTAATGTGTCTGGCACAAATTGAATGCATTAATGGAGGATTTAGCATCCGGAATTTTCCAGGGCATTTGAGGAAGAGGTTAGCCACATTTATTATGCTATCTTGATGTCTGTGTAATGCAAACTATGTGCTAAATGCAAAATACTGTAGAGTCTAGGAGAAAGACAGAAATTAAGTTTCCCATAAAGAGATATATAGGAGCAGCAGATCCTGAGACACTAAGAAAAAAGGCAAATTTAGGTCTTGATCCTGCAAGTTTGTCTGTGTTGTTTAATATAATCTGCAAGTCTAAAACCAAAGAGATTGTACATGAAGAAGTGCCTTAAACATGCTATTAGAGGGACACCGAAATCCTCTAAGTCCCTTCTGTAAAGTGGCTTCAGACATCAATGTAGTGCAGAGCCTTATTATTAGACTTTATTTAGACTATTTCTTGAGAACCACTGAAATCTGTAAAAGGCTGGATCCTCAATAGTGAAAATTGTAAAATTAAAAATACCAGACTGTTTATGCTCTGAATTATAAATATAGATGGTGAAGAGTGACATTTTACATATTCTTTGAGTTTAATAGCCCTGGGAGCAGTTAATAAGTGAAAAACAGAACATGATTTTTATCTGCTGAGTGTCCTTTTAATTTCACAGTGTGCAAATAGCTTTTGATGTGAAGATTTGGTGCCAAAGGGAGTAAGATAATGGAAGAATCTTTAAATTGCATTATATCACTAATGCTACTCTGCTAACATCAGCCATGAGCAAGGAGAGGATACTAAGCGGAAGATAACAACAAGAAAGAGAGTCTGTGGTGATTACTGCTTAATTCAATTATTGGTTAATTAAATCAAAGTGTCAGGAGGAAAAATCATTTGGATTAAAAATGAATATAACTTCCATCCTGTATTTGACTTGTGTTAGGAAGGAATAAATGGGGTAATTTAATCACTGACCTAAGAAAGTTTCAGTAATTCTTTCAGAAATAAGGAGACCTCAGATGTGAACGGGATGGCCCAGGGCACACCCACTCACACAGAAGATTGACTGCACGTAAGCTTGTGCTATTTAGAGATTGTTATGGACATTTAAACTACTATTATGTGCTGTGTGAGCTGTGATCTGAACTCGCTGGTCATGCGGATAGTCTCTTTATTTCAGAACAGGCCACGGGAAAAGCCTCAGCAGAAGGAAGAGGATAGGCTTTGTTGCCCATGATCTGCTTTACTCCTGTTTATTTCTAGGCTGTCACGAATTGTCAGCAAAATTTTCACAGATCCCATCCCTGAAGTGCCTGTTGGTATCTGTGAGATTGGGAGTTTCTCCTTGTAAGTGGTTAACATACAAATATACTGATATTTACCTGAAGCTAACGAAGCACCTTTGCCACGAGAAATAGTTCAATAATCCCATACCATTGCATTCCCGTGCTCTGACAAAGTCAAAAATGACAACACAACTTCTTCTTAAGACTTGGGGAAAGATTCTTTTTACATCTGTGGCTTTGGTTCGCAGTTGCTTTGTCTTCTCCACATCTGGAAACTTAGTACTATGGTGAAATTACTGTGCTAGTAACTGGGATTTAATTTTCATTTCTGCCGCAGTCTTGCTTTTCCATCTTTGATTAACCTATTCCACTTTCTGTGGGATAATTCCGCTTTTGAAACTGATACTGGTCTTCCCTTTCGTCTGCTCTTTCTCTTGCCCATTGTGACTGTATGGTCTTTAGGGAAAAATATTTTATTAGTTTTTCTCCAGGGCCTACCGCAGCAGAACTTTGAACTCAAATGTGTCCTCATGCCATGCTAATCAACAGCCTGAATTTTTCAGTCTGTTCCCTACAGCATGCAGAAACTAAATCTTTTACTAAAATTTACTAAAGATTTACTAAAATCTAATTTTATTTTACTAATTCTAGATTTAGTATTAGTAAAACTAATACTTTTAAGAATGTGGGCATAATTATTGAGGGTGATGTGCATTAACTACCTCTATTAAGGTACTGTAGTATGACAAATTTCAACCAACACTGTAACCTTGTTTTGAATATCTGCTTGGCCCTCTTGACCAACGTATAGTTGGGTTGCTATCATTTTTTTCTTGCTGACGAGACCATCAAGCAAAAGGATATTTCTTTTTTTATTATTTTTTTGCGGATAAAGGAGGCTGAATAAAACTGTGACTCTCTTATTGCTAGCAACAATTCAGACTCCCAGCTGCGGTGAACTGACACAGCTTTCCTTAGTCCATGGAGCTGCACTGGTGTAGGTGCTGCATCACAGGACACAGGGTGTTTTTTCTTACTTTTTGTAGCCCTCCTGGCTCAGAGTTCAGAGCACTTCCCCTGTGCCCCCCAGTAAACCACTTTACTTCTCTGTTCCTCAGTTCCTCATCTGTAAAATAATGGTAATGGTACCACTATATTTTAGAGGAGTTTGGTGTGGATAAATACATTGAGGACAGTGACCCTCTCTGTGGAATGGGGACTGTGTAGTTACCTATGAAAAAAAGAAATGAATACACATCAGAACTGAGAATCTTAATTCAGGTAAATTCCTGAATGAATCAGTTGCACTTACACTGATAAGCTTCTCAGCTAATCTGAAAAAGTTCACGTTTATGCCAAAGTTATGAGCAATTTCAAGTGTTTTGTTGTTTTTGTCTGGGCACTTTTACATGATTGGCGAGCATTAAAGATGAAAATCTTTCTGAGGTGATGGCTGTGAGTGCTTAAATAACAACTGCTATTTCAACTTCTTGAATTTTCAATTTTCTGTGGCAAATAAGGGAGTTTGTCTGTTAAAGTGTAAGCGTCAAGAACATGAATTCTTTTGTGGGGGAACACACAAATACTGGCTGTGACAACATCCCAGGTAGCTTTGCCCCAGACCTCTGTGAAGCTCCAAATATTGCCTGGTAGTTTTAAGAGTGCCTGTGCCATACCCACCAAAGCCATTTGTTTCATTGGTGTTGTCCATGTGTGAAGAACTCAGTTTGCCTATTAATCTGCTCCTTTCTTCCTTTTTTTTTTTTTCCTTTTATTTGTATATCCTTTAGAACCCCTTCCTGTGAGCAGTGTTTCTATCTATGATTACAAACCATCTCCAGAAACAGGAGTGTTGTTTGAAATTCAGTACCCAGAGAAGTACAATGTCTTTACCAGGGTAAATATAAGCTATTGGGAAGGAAAAGACTACCGAACAATGCTGTACAAAGGTAGGAGGAAACTATTCCACTAAAACTTGATGCTAACTCTGCTGGAAACATTTTGAGCAGTGATCTTAGGTGTGGTTTTGACATGTACTTGTTATAATGATTTCTATTTCTGTTTGTATAATAACTTTTATATCATGAAGTAAGGCATGGGCCTTCAAATTGAGCTGGTGGTTCACTTCGGATTTAAACCAGCATCCTAGTTTTAGTGATGCTTCTTTTCTTTCGAATTTTAGAGGAAGGCTGGATGGGCTGGATTTTTTAAATCAGTTCTGAAATCAACTTGGGAAGGAATCCCCAAGTTCTGGTGCTTCCAAAATAAGCATGTGCACTAAAATCCAAAATACTTTCCATGTTTTGGTTTGTTTGTTTGTTTGTTTGTTTGTTTTAATCTTCCCTGCTGCTGTACAATCCAAAAGAAAAGGAAAAAGGAAAGAAACCCAAAACTCAGTAGGAAGGACAGAGATACATTTTTGCTTCCTAGATATGCTTGTTGAAATCCCTAGATGACATTCTGTGTCAGTTGAAAGCATTAAAAAAGGTCCCAGTCTCTTTTCTCTGGCCAAGGTTTCCTCTTTGGTGAACAGCTAATAGGAGAGCTCTGGCATGTCCCAGTGCTGGGAAACCCACTCCTTATACCTGATTCCTGGCACAGGATTTAAACCTGGTAGTTCTGTATTAGCATGCAGTGACGCAGTGCTAATAGTACTGTGCTGTAGCATTCATTATTTCTCTGAGCTAATAAACCCTGCTGCATATGATAAATTTCAATTTTCTTAAAATAATCTAATCAAGGGCAATCAATCTAACAATCTAGACAGTTTAAAAAATCTAAACAACCAATGTAATCATCTAACAAGAGCAAATTCCACTTTATTTTTTATTTGTTTATAATCAAACTCCCTTTTGCCCTGCAGTATAGCTTAAGCATAGCATCTGTCTCAGAGCTGTGAATGGGGCTGTCCTACAGAAAGCATCCTAGGAAGTGAGAAAGGCACCTGCATACTCCACAGGCCCTGAAACCCCGATGGTTTAACATCCAAAAGGGGCAGGAAAATGTCTCTGAGCGATCCAGTAGGTGCTGGATTGAATTTTGGGCACTGAACTAAGGGTCCCAAAGTCAGGTCACTGCAAGCTCTCTCTACAGTCAGTAGAGGGAGATACACACCTCCGGAATGAGGTCTGAAAATTTGGGAATCTCTTCGCGTCAATACAGAGCAAAGCTAGAAATCACATTTTCAGCGCCGTCAAGTGCCAGAAGTTAGGGAAGGTGATTCTGGATCATAGTACAGAATATAAGTGACCTCCTTCCAGAGGGCAAACGGGATACAGGCATAATTCTTGTCTTCTGCAGCTGACATGGTTCAGGGGGCTGGGGTTCATGGTTCATGGTTCATGGTTCAGGGCTTCTGAACCCCCCATGGTTCCAGGGGCTGTAGCGCTGCAGCTGCTGATAAATAAAAAAGTCAACCTGAATTAAGAGATTCACTAATCAACTTGCACACTCCTTCCTGTAGCCAAATAGCCCTAAGCAACTTCTCTCCAGCCCGCACGTGTACCAATGGTGGAGGTGAGCTCGGCTCTCAGCACCGCACCTTGCACTCCGTTGCGTGCTGGATGGCCCTTCCAGCATCTATCCCGAGTGCTGTGCCTCAGTCAGCAAAAAAAACGAGGAGGCTTTTGCGTGCAGCAGTTAAAGGTCTGCAGAAACTGTCAGATGCTCTTTGAGATGTTCGGTGTCACGTGGAACAGGTTGCCAGATTCAGTTCCCTTTCCTGTGAAAAGTAGTTCATGTTTCTTGTGCCGGGCTTTATTGTAGCAAAGTGGCTTTGGCAGCCAGGAAAAATGTTGGCAAGCAGAATTATTAGAATTTCCTGTCTCAGACCAGGCTGAGCAGTGTTTAAACATCTGAAACGCTGCCAGTTCAGCATGTGCAGTTGCTTTATCAGAAAGTGAGCATTTGATGCATTTTCCTCTTTTTTTTTTTTCTCCTTTCTTCTTTTCTTTTTAAACCTTCTGCAGATTTCTTTAAAGGTAAAACAGTTTTCAATCACTGGCTACCGGGTATATGCTACAGTAACATCACGTTTCAGTTGGTATCAGAAGCAACCTTCAACAAAAGCACGCTGGTGGAATACAGCGGAGTCCAGCATGAGCCCAAACAGCACAGAACAGGTGAAGAAAAATGAAGCAAATGTACCGTTTGCTCCGAGTTTGTATGGCTGCTTTCCTTTCTGCCCTGGGGAGGGGATGGATCCCACAGGGAGGAGGGTCTGTGTGGGAGCAGTCCTGGGAGCATGGGAGGAGGATGCTGCAGCCAGGACGTAGCATTATGTGTGCAATACAGCAGAAAGGGAAATTTGCGTGAGGGTTTCTGTTACAAAGCTTGCTTTTTTGGAAATAAATTCTGCCTCACATGAGATATCCTAGGGAATTAATTTTTAAGCCGCGGGAACAGCTGCACTGAGCATACTATTGATCTATCTATATTGGTCTGTCTGCTTGCGCAGTGAATCATAGCTAAACTGTTGGAGAAGACCTTCCTCATTGTGCAGTCTTCTATCACGGAGAAGAATGTCATAGTCGCCCCACTTGGCAGCCAGTTTATGCCCTGAAGCATGAACTTTTAATTTCCAAGACAGCAATGTCGTGAAGGCTGAAAATTGCATTTGTTCAAGGTCCAGAACTAATTTAATTTGGTCCTGGGACGGTGCCCAAAACTTTTCTGCTCATCTGTTGGACCACAGACATTTTCCAGAGTCCAAAGTGAAATGAACCAGTGGTAAAATCAAAAGGCCAGATCTTCAGATGAATACACTGATGTCAGTCCATTGCCTTGGACAGAGCAAAGCCAACTGATGCCAGCTGAGTTCTGTCCTGAGGATCCTAAATATAGTTCCCGAGATACTGAACCATAAGAATACAACCAACAGGATCACATTTTTCTTTCCTCTCATCCCTTGGTCTTCGCACGAACTGCAACGGGATTGTAGTGTCTGCTTTTGTGTTACTGGCTGTGGCTGGGACAGGGGAAGTGAACAAGTTAGTGTATTGTAAGGTGCCAGCTTAAAAGATGCCAGTCAGAATTCTTTTCATCACACGCTTGTCGTGTGTAAGGGCAGAGAGAGAAGCAATTACAGTGAGTGAGACAAAATGCTGCGTGTTCACCTCCTGGTATAAGTCAAAGTAACTTCTTTGCGTGCGTGTCTTCCGGAGACCCAAATCCTAAGATCAAGCTTTCACAAGTATTAAAATTTAAACTAATGTTTAATGCCTGTGAAAAGGTGGCTGCCAAAAGCATATGAAAAGCCCTACAGCAACGTGAAGGTCATACTTCTTAAATATGAGTTATGCCATATATTATTTTTGCATATGTTTTTCAATTCATTTCTGCAGAAGTATTTTTTCCCGTGATCAAGATGCTTCTGGAAGACACAATAAAATAAATGAAGATCCACTCTTACAAATCCGTACTCTGGTAGCCTTGCTGCTCTAAGAGCACTGAGGTCTGATTGATTTACTGTGACTTCACATCTACTTTTCTTCCTGGTATTCTTGAATTCTTCTTTGCATTTACACTCATCTTGATCCCACTAGACCCACTTCTACTATAAGTATATGTAAGAGAAGGGAGAATCTTAGTAAGAACAGGTCATTGCGAAATGTTCTTAGATGTATTTGTTTTCTGCAAACAATGTTTCTGTGGGGAATGAACACCTTGTAAAGGTGCACAGAACATACCTGTTAAAAGACTAACCCTTGCTTCTCTTTTAGTTCCTTACCCACCTCGAAACATTTCTGTTCAGATTGTACCGATCAACAGAAACAACTGGGAAGAGCACAGTGGGAATTTTGCAGAAGTATCATTCATGGGACCACAAGAAATCATAAGAAAAGAAAAACCAAGCCATTTTTCTGACAACCCAACTGAAATTCCAGCAGTGAACACATCTGCCGCCTGGCTGGACTACCGCTATAACAGCACTCAGTACGAAACCACATCACAGCCGTACTGGTGGCCCAATGAAGCTGAATCATCAGAGGGTGAAGAGGAGTTTGTCAATGCAGTTTCCAGTGATTACGAGGCCAATGACATCAACGCCTCTGGAAAACTCACACCAGAGCCCCGTTCCTTCCTTCCTGTACAAATGGTGCTGACCTGGTTACCACCAAAGCCACCTACTGCATTTGATGGTTTCCATATCAATATTGAAAGGGAAGGTAAACCAGAGCCTTATACCCTTTTCTTACCTCTTTTCTGTAATTCCATCGGTGGGTTGTCTTCTCTACAAATTATTCATTACTCAGTACTGTGCTTCAGAGGGCTTTGTTAGATCTCCTGTATTTTTTGAGAAGCTTCATGCATTGAATAGCATCTAGTTCTGGCTGGGCGTCATAAAAGTCAGGGAGGAGGGGTAAATTGCAGTTTGCAATTTTCTTTTGTTAAGATTTATACTGTTGTACATATTGCCTCAGTGTTTACACTGCGCTTATCGTAAATCCGTTCTGGTGTTGGAGAAAGGAGAAACGAGCTGATAGAAATTTGAGACAAAGAAGGTACGTTATGCCATATAGTTTTGTCTGCCACTGAGAAAGGTTCTCAGGGGGACCCGGACTGGAAGAGGCACACAGAAAAGGTCATCTAGATTCAGATTAACAGCTGTTTCAGAGGACAGCTACCAAACATATTCCTTAGGCCACAAGGAGGCTGTGGTGGAGAAGAGAGAGACTTTTCAAGTGATGGACCTACAAGAAAATTGCCATATTGCGTAAAGATTTTCTGGTTTAAAATCTATTTTATCCTACTGAATTTTATTTCCTGACAAGCAGTTTTCATAAGCCTTCCCACACTGAGGGCAAATCGTTTTTTTGTTGTTTTTTTTTTTTTTTTCAGAATAAGAATGCGATAGGTAGAAAATTGGAAGCTCTTTTTCTTCCATGCCAAGCTGTTTTTCACTTGCACAGTCATGGCAACCCTATTTTATCATCCCTTCTGCAGAATGAAAATTTGGCCTGAGTTTATTGTTCCTCTACACCTATACTGCCACCTTGGTCATTAATTACTTTTGTGCTGATGGCAAGAAGTAAAACTACCCACATAAATCCAGTCCTTTTGGATACTTTTTAATCCCACAGCAGAAACAGTATTAGCATTTCTGATATAAATCACTTTCTCAGAGGCTGGAGCCTTTCAAATTTCAATTAATCCACGCTTTTTTTCCCCCCCTCTGATTTAGAGAACTCCACGGAATTTTTGACAGTAAGTGAGGACACTCACAAATTTGTTGCTGAACTGAAAGAACCAGGAAAATATAAGTTGTCTGTAACAACATTTAGCTCCTCTGGCTCTTGTGAAGTTCGGGGAAGTCAAGCAGCAAAAACACTTAGCTTTTACATCAGTAAGTATCTCAACAAATCTGTCTTTTTCTCCCAGACCAATATAACTTTAATGTACAGAGTTTGACCACTGTGGCAGCTGTGGCATCTGCTGCAGGATAAGAAGAATTTGGTCTTCTGGAATTCCCTGTGCCAGAGAAGGAAATATGGTGCAAGTATGTTTATATATTATATCCTGCCTGGATGGGCCTTCATCGTGCTGTCTTGGCAGAGCTAAGAACTGAAAGCAGGGGATGTGTTTGATGGAGTCATTGCCCAGTGTTCAGGAGTGGCTCACTGAAACACGTTCCCCTCTTGCATCTTCAAAAGACAGGATTTCATTCCGAGAATTAAATCAGTGGTCATAGAGATTCTTGAAAATACTGAACTAAGTTCCTCCTGGAGGCTGTATGTACCAGGTTAGGGATGAAGGGCATCTCAGGCTGAGAGTGTGGGAATTGTACAATTAAACACTGAACTCTGAAATTACATGGTCTCTGAGAGAACACGGGGCAAATTACAGTCGATGAAATAGTTCAGCCTGCTAAATTCAGGGGAGAAAAAGTAATTTATTACTTCCCTGTAGAATCCCAGGGTTTCTTCACTGAGCATTTAGTAGAAGACGAAGTAATAATACACTACTGTGCAAACTAGTACCGTGACTGGCGATGTGGTCAGCAAGCGAGACAGGTGTTGGTGAATTCACATTGGTTCCTGCCGATGACTGTGGTGACTTTTGTACCTTTTTCTACAAAAGGAAACAGATACAGCCTTCAAAACGCCCATGCAATGAGAACAGGGGAATACTTGCAGCGTGACACTATTTTACATGTGGGAGGGTAGTGTTTCCCCCGAGTCATCAATGCTGCGACAAGACACGGTAGCTAAAACTGGCAGAAATATTCATATTAAAAGGAAATGTACTCAAGTACTTAAGTACATTACTAATAAAAAATGTGTCTTTATACATAACATTTACATACTAACTATTTAGGCTTAAATTCATCATAATTCTTGACTGCATGTAACTGAATTCCACTTGCTCCTGTGTTTTTAACAACTTTGTAGTTGAAAGAAACAGTACTTGGAAAATAAAGAGAAAAGAGGAAACAGCACGTGAGAGAAAGGGTCTCTGCTGTTGTAATTTCACTATCTTGTGAACTATTTCTTCAAAAATAGTTGACAGCTTCGTTATATGGAAAGCGTTGAGTATATATAAATATGCAAGTATATCAAATAAATTATGTAGCATTGCTATTGGTACTGAACGTTCTTCCATTTTACAAGGTGTGACTTATTTCCATGAAACAATGTGCAATACAGTGTCCTCCATGAAGGAGGGAGGGACAAAGGGGGGACAAAGACCCGAGAGAAATGAGAAAATATTAGTCCAAAGTATAGGTGTATGGATTGCTAGATTAAGGATGAACTTGAATCTCATTGGGTATAAAATACTAAGATGTTGCAGGAATCTAATGAAGATTTTCATTTTACATGTAACACATGAGAACATTTGTGGTTTTTTGAGGTTTTGTCTGTTAGTTTTGCAGGCTCTTAGAACCAGGTGAGGATTCTTGGCAGTTGTCTCGTTCTGTCAAATGCAAGATTCTTAGTATTTTAGGTAGATTTTGTCTATATTTCTGGTAGTATGCCAAGTCTGAGATGTGCACAAGTACACTTAAGGTGAAGTTGCTTTTCCATTCCTCTTTCTGAGTCTGCTCAAATAGGCTTTTTTTGTGGGGGCTAACAACTTTGGGCCGTGACATGAGATAGCTCAGTTCCCTGAATGCCAATGCTGAAGCAAGTTCTGAATAGTAAGAGCTACACATACATCCTCTGGCTCCCGAGACTATGATCACATCCCTTGCTTTACCTGAGCAGGTGTGATGTCTTCACCTGTCTGATGTCTTGAATAAATTTTGCTCATCGCTTCAGCCTTATTGTTGTAGCTCCCAGTCAGTGACTCATCCTGTCAAATTACTGACTTGTATTGCACAACATTTCCCTTGCACACAGATAGCAGGATGGATTGTCAGATCTTATAGGCTGATCTTACACCAAATTCTTGCTCTGGCATTTGTTTTATTTTCTCAATAAATGTAAAGTACCATTAGAATTGCGTGGAGGAACGAATATCAAAGAGAGCGCTGTCACAAGCGTCACTTAAAAATGACAAAAAAAGCTGATGATTTTAATGAAATCTGAAATTTTGACCAAGTCTAGCTGAAGTTATTTTCCAAATTGTCATTTAATCTACATTTAAGCCTGTGTTCTCTACCAAGTGCTTTGAAAAGTCCGATGGAGAATGAGATTCTTCACTGCAGTGACCTCTGTGAACTCGATTTTCACGCTTCGAGGCTGTAGTACACTTGGAGGGTATGTTAGTATGTGGAGAGGCGACCAATTTTATGTGCTTATCCTTTAATATTTGTCAATGATCTGTACGTTATTGGATATTGCTGCTTTCAAACGTTCCCTTGAAGCAAATCTGATGTTGCTGGGTGGTCTCAGGTAAGCGATAGAGAATACTGCAATCTGAATTTTCAAACAGGGACTTTTCTGCAATCTGAATTTTCAAACAGGGACGTTTCTCTCGTCATCTGCTCTGCTACAAGTGAAATAGCACCAGGCACAGGCTGTTTCCCAGGGGCTGCTGTCTTCACTGCCTGGGGGCTGTGGAGATGGACAACTGTCAGTCCAGCCTCTTCCACTAGCAGTAACTAATCCCGTGAAAGAAGGATGTTTGAACATATGTGCCTCAAATGCGTAGCGTGTCTTGCTCATGTGTGCTTTTGGGATGTGCCCCAGGCCCCACAGGTGAATGGATAGAAGAACTCACTGAAAAGCCCCAGCACGTGAGCGTGACGGTGCTGAGCTCCACTACTGCCCTGACGTCGTGGACAGCATCGCAGGAGAGTGGCGGCAACAGCACCATCGTGTCTGTGGTCTCCCTGACCTGCCAGAAGCAAAAGGAAAGTCAAAGGCTTGAAAAACACTACTGCACGGAGGTAAGGGGTGGAAGCTGGAGCCTTTTCAAATGCAGGAACGAAATCCCTAATTGTCCTGCTCTTTGGGATCTTCGTGCTCAAGGACCCTGGCAGGCTATGGGCAGCAGCAGGTGCTCCCTTCTGCAATCCAAAGGGATGCAGCTGATGTGGAGCGGAGGGGAGAGCACAGCATCCAGCAATGAAAGGGTGCAGTGAACCATAGTAGTGTTAAAATTGTATTCCTGTTGGACTGATGGTGGCTGATCTTCTTTTTCAGGCTTGTGAGTTATGTTGTACCCTTTGAGACGTTTTTGTGGCCGTGGGCAGAATGGTGCCGTATCATAATAACACTCAGGCATATGCTGGATTCCGTTTGTATTAGGCAAAGTGCTCACCTGCATGATTATCCTCAAACTAGTGTAAATTCTTTCTTAGATGTCCTACGTATGAATACAGAATGTGACCCTAAACTTTCTGGAAGTTTAGAGGTGATTGGATATCAGGTGTTTTTTTTTCATCCATAAAAAAACATGTCAGCGCTGGGAAGTAAATACTGATTCAGACCACCTGTGATTTGGATGGACAAGAATTCTTTAGGGCTGTTTATAATGGGCAAGAATCCTGAACCCCAAAATGTGGCAGTTTTCTGTTGTTTGAAACCCGTAGTGAGTGCAACCCCACGTCAGATCCTGTGGCTATGATGGATCAGTGGCATGTGGCTTCAATTAGAAAGAGGTTTTAGCCCACATCTCAGTTTCCTTACCAAGATGCTGATAAGGCCATTTTCTGAGCAGTGCCATAACTTCTGTCTGGCTCCCTAAATACGTGTATGATGGAGGAATGTGCAAAGGACTGCAGCACTGCCCTGCTGCACCCTCATGGGTGCCCATGGGAATGGGAGGAGACCGCTAATGCTCCCAGTAAATCTTCATCTCCTTCAACTTTGTGATTAGCCCTGCAAGTTAATTGATACAGAGTCTGCGTCCTTTAAAAATGTCTTTTGAAATTTATCTTTGTCAAAACGTTTTGAGTTTTATTCCAAGAATGGCTGTGAACTTAAATGTTTGGAAGTGTCAATTTGAGAACTGTTTTTCAGAATCACCTTCTAATCTTATTGAGTCATTTTCCTTCCATTTATTAGAAGTGCAGTCATTTAATCAGGAAGAAAAACAGTATGGTAGGTGATTATATACCACAGAGCAGAAGTATATACATATATGATTAAAGTAAGTACTACAGGATTAATCTACAAACTCAAAAGCAAGTACCCAAAGCTAATCTGTGAATAAACAAGATATCTGCAAAAGTCAATGTGTGTTTATTGCAAGCAGGTAGAAAGGTCTAAATATAGTTATTTATTTCTTTTTGTCATTACAAATATTCATACCATCTCTAATCAAATTTTATCAGCTTATTATATCTGGAATTATTAATGGCTGTTGGTTTGAATTCTCCTTGACTAGCTGAAAAGGGCAAAATTCAGTGCAGAGTTCTATCCATTTCTAACATTGTGCATGATTTAAAAGTGATTTAACTTTCCAAAGCAGCTGCTAAAGACAAATTCTGTTCCTCACTAAATCTCTGCTGGCACTGATAGATTCAAGTGCATTGCAGTAAACTACCAGTGCAAAGGAGGCTGCGATACAGACTTTGGAAAGGTTGCAAGGAAAATATTAGTAGGAAATATCAGCCTGCATTTCTAGAAGGGATACATGAAGTCCTTTCCTCAAAGCTGCTCTGTACATTTACTGTTAGCTGGCTCTTCAGGAGATAAGACTTCTCATACCGTATCAGACCAGGAATCACTTGGTCAGGCATTCTGCCTCCAGCTCTTCCTTTCCTCAAAGCTGCTCTGTACATTTACTATTAGCTGGCTTTTCAGGAGATATGACTTCTCATACCGTATCAGACCAGGAGTCACTTGGTCAGGCATTCTGCCTCCAGCTCAGACTGAAACCTCGTGTGGCCCAGCAGAAATTTTGATGGTGATGTTTCAAACTGAAGAGAAAAATCAATGTCCCTTAGTCAGGTTTTGTAGTGCTGTGCAAGACGGACCATGAAAAGCCTCAGGCTTTTGTTGAAAACACACGGTCTAAAGACTCCAGCCTGAATAATATCACCTGAATACGGATAACGTGGCATGAATATTTCGGTAAACTTCAGCGGGAGGAGATTCATAGATTCATAGATTTCTAGGTTGGAAAAGACCTTAGAGATCATCCAGTCCAACCGTCCCTAATCCCCATTAAACCATATCGCTAAGTAGATCATCCACCCTATTCTTAAACGCATCCAGGGATGGGGACTCAACCACCTCCCTGGGCAGCCTATTCCAGTGGCTGACAACCCTTTCAGAGAAGAAATACTTCCTAACATCCAACCTGAACCTCCCCTGACTAAGCTTATACCCATTTTCTCTTGTCCTATCACCCAACACTAATGTAAAGAGCCCTTCCCCTACCTCCCCACCATCCCTTCTCAAGTATTTGTAGGGGGTCTGCAGCGTGACAGCTGACCTTATTCGGCAAGGCAAGCGTGATTCTCTGGGTCAGATCGATTCTCAAGTCAGTCCTGGCCACTTCCAGAGTTTTGCCGTTTTGGGCTTAATGAATGGAGTTTTAGCTGCTGATGCCGGTGTGTTCAGAATCATGCCTTTTGTAACTGCGGTAGTTCGAGTACAGTCTCAATATTCTTTTAATTAACCTAGTGAATACTTCACATCTGGTGTGTTCTCCTCCTATTAGGTGAATTCAAGCAGCAGCCTCATTGAAAATCTTGTTCCTGGTGCCCAGTACCAAGTCGTGGTTTACTTACGGAAAGGACCATTGGTTGGGCCGCCCTCTGATCCTGTTACATTTTCCATTGGTAACCTCTGCATCTGCTGTTTGGAATGCATTTGTTTTGGTTTGTTTTTAAATATGTGTAATATATTCAGGAAGTCCTAGAGCCCATGAAGGAGTACGCCATTGTTGTGTTGGTTATTTCAAATGTGATGAACCCTTACTGAGAATATTTTTATTATATTGTCTAGCCCATTACTGAGGTGGGGAAAATACTGCTTCAGTGGAAGGTAGATATTTCACAGAATCGTAGAATGGTTTGAGTTGGAAGCGACCTTAAAGATCATCTAGTTCCATTCCCCCTGCCATGGGCAGGGACACCTTCCACTATATCAGCTTGCTCAAAGCCTCATCTGACCTGGGCTTAAGTTTCGCATTTAAATGTTAAGTTATTACCAAACCTAACTGGAGAGCAGTAATGGCCAGGGTTCACACACCGAGTGCCCTGTGGAAAGAGCCATCTTCACCCTTGGACACCTGAATATGTTTTTCTCTAGCATTGCTCATGGTCTATGTCATTTAGGCTGGGAGTCACCTCACTGAGATGTAGCCAGCCTGAGCTGCAGGTGGTCTGCAGTGCATGGAGAGATGTGGGCACTTCCTAGAGGTGATTCATTCCCACTGTCTCATGAAGTGCTGAGACTGCTGTTGAGATATTTGTTGCAAATGTGCTTTATGAAGGACGTAATATGGCCCAGTCTGAAGGCCACAGTGCTGAGAGTCAGGAGAACTGACTTATCTCCTACTACATGACCGTCACCAACTTCAGTTGCGTATGCCTTGATTTTCTTGAGTTTATTGGTGGATCTTGATGCTCTCTGCTTTGAGATTTGAAGGTAAGAAAAATGCTCTGAGACAGAGTCAGATTTTCAAGAATGTGGTTTTCTGGCCAACAGGCAGAGCTGCTGCCCTCATGCCTGCAATTCAGGATCCCACCAGGCTCCTAAATAAAGAGTCACTTAAGATAGAATTCAGTATCTTTTAGTTTCGGTATCATTTACTTTGTTAACTTTAACAAAATGTATTAAGAAGAGAAAGGACAAAGAGGAAGAGATTCAGTGCATAGAGTTACATTTGCAGAGAAGTATTTAACCTGAGTCACCCAGCTTCTCCTTTTGACAAATAGTCTGTCTTGTGGGAGAGCAGGTGGCTGAAAATTAGAGATCTCCTGTAGTTTTCATTCTGCTTCCTCTCTGTGATGTCAGGAAGAAAGCAAAACAGAAAAAAACAAAGTTAACCTGTTAAGAATTGAATCCTTAAATGAAAGCAAATATGTGGACTAGTGAATATGGTGAGAGCCTTTTCATTCTAGACAATCTCCTTATATATTTTCATAAACTGGGTCTGAATAAAAATTTAAAAAGAGTATGATATATTTCAGTGAAGGAAAACATAGTAACTAAAATACATATATACTTTATTATTAAAATCTCTATCATTGAACAATTTTTATAAATGCTTTTGATTTTCTTTCTCACTGTAGTTGCTTCAGAAATCTGCAAAATTCTATTTTCACTTGAGAAAGTAAAATCATATATTTCTGAAGTAAATACGTTCCTTCGTTTTTTCTACTTTTGTGTGGCCTCACAACCATAAAAGGTTCTTACTAAACTCAAAATGGCAATGAATTTCTGAACAGAATATCTCATAGGCTTCTTATTGTAAAAGGGATGGGTTTATGCAGTAAAACAACAGTTGTGTGAGTTTCCATTTCTTAACAGGATATTGACTTTGATATTAAAATAGTAGAACTGCAAAACAAACTGTGCTGTGAAATTATCAGTGGTGTTAATGATGAATGAAACTGAAATAAGATTAAATACACTTTTAAATTATTGGGTTGTCCCCATGCTTGTTGCCAAGCTCACTTCCACTGAGTGAGTATTAACACTTTAGAGAAAGCAAAGCACAGGTGTGGTAAATGACTTGTGAAGGGAAAGGCAATCATGTGCTACCATGGGCTGAAGTAATCTGGGTGCTGGCCTTGGCTCTAACATGGTATGCAGTAGCTGGGGCTCAGCAACCTCTGCAAATGTTGGGGAAGTACTGATTTAAGTAGCCTCAGTTAAGTTGTGAAGAATAATTGCTTTCCAGACAAGTAAGAGTTGCAGAAGTTGACCCTTATGTGACATTTGTCTAGTCACTTGACTCCTCTTTCTCAGTGTTATCATCTATGAGGCAAGAATAGTAATACATGACAGCACCTTTAGGTTTCCCAGAGAAGGAGGGCTAGACATAAAACCTGACCTTTCTCATATTCTTCAGCTTTCAAAGTGTTATAGCTTTCGATGCTTTTGTTTTTGAGCAACTTGAAGTATCTCCTAAACATCCTGATCCATCCAGAGGGACCTTGACAGGCCTGAGAGGTGGACCTGTGCAAACCTCATGAGGTTCAAGGCTAAGTATAAGGTCCTGCACATGGGTCAAGGCAATCCCAAGCACAAGTACAGGCTGGGTGGAGAATGAATTGAGAGAAGCCCTGAGGAAAAGGACTTGGGAGTGCTGGTGGATGAGAAGCTCAACATGAGCCGGCAATGTGTGCTGGCAGCCCAGAAAGCCAACCGTGTCCTGGGCTGCATCCAAAGCAGCGTGGGCAGCAGGTCGAGGGAGGAGATTCTGCCCCTCTACTCTGCTCTCGTGAGACCCCACCTAGAATGCGGCGTTCAGCTCTGGAGTCCCCAACACACGAAGGACATGGAGCTGCTGGAGTGGGTCCAGAGGAGGCCACAAAGATGATCCGAGGGCTGGAGCACCTCTGCTATGAAGACAGGCTTAGAGAGTTGGGGTTGTTCAGCCTGGAGAAGTGAAGGCTCTGGGGAGACCTTCTAGCAGCCTTCCAGTACCTAAAGGGGTTACAGGAAAGCTGGAGAGGGGCTTTTTTCTAACAGTGTGTAGTGATAGGACAAGGGGCAATGGATTTAAACTGAAAGAGGGGAGATTTCCATCAGGTCTAAGGAAGAAATTCTTCCCTCTGAGGGTGGCAAGGCACTGGAACAGGTTGCCCAGTGAGGTGTTAGATGCCCCATCCCTGGAAGTGTTCAAGGCCAGGCTGGATGAGGCTTTGAGCGGCTTTGGGCAACCTGGTGTAGTGGAGGGTGTCCCTGCCCATGGCAGGGGGGTTGGAAATGGATGATCTTTAAGGTCCCCTCCAACCCAAATCATTCTTTTATTCTATGATTTTCAAAATAGAATGAGACCTTCTATTTATGAAAGAGCAGGCCCTGCACTTTATCTCAAGCTAAGCAGCCAACACTGAGTAGTCTGTGGTAATTTCTGAAAAAGTAAACATAAACTGGAGAACAAATGCTGAAAAAATAGTATTTGACTCCTTGTGACAAGGAAACCTTTGGAATTATAGTCAAGAACAAACCAGAAGTAGGTAGAACTTGGTTAAGGAAAGGTATCATTTTAAAATAAAGTGTAACTGGTAACACACACATTACTAACCTCAATTTCTCGTTTATAGTGCCCACTGGAATTAAGGATCTGACGCTTTACCCTTTGGGACCTACTGCTGTGGTTCTGAGCTGGAACAGACCTTTCCTTGGGGTGTTCAGGAAATATGTTGTAGAAATGTTTTACTTCAACCCATCAACGATGACCTCTGAGTGGACAACCTACTATGAAATAGCAGCAACCGTCTCCTTAACTGCCTCCGTGGTAAAGTGACCATTCCTGACTCTTGCTTTCCCAAGCCTGTGTGGCCCTGGCACCTCATGACATTTCTTTGCCCAGCCTTTCCTCCATGAATATGTATATATGCCTTTAAGCCTGGCACATTTTTCCAGGCAAAGCAGAGAATATGGCCAGGATGCTGGAGGCATCTTGTGTTCCAAAGTAAGGGAATGCCAGCTGAACCATGCTAAATTTCAAGCAGAGTGATGAGGTAGGAGACGAGTCTCTTTTTTGTTGACAAATGAGCATGTTGAGCGAGTCCAGAGGCAGCTTCAGTTTGTGGGTCAGTTTGTCAGTCAAGGCTTTAAAAATTCCACCGTCTCCTCAGGGGGAGTAGTCCAAAGCCTTATCTACATAATTAATATTCATAATATGGAATGGGGCTTGTGGGCTAGTCTTGCAGTGTGCCATCTGGAAGGCTTAGCTGCAGAGATGCTCTTGTGAAAATAGCCTTCATGTTTCCGAAGCTAGAAAAACTTACCAGGATTTCAACTAGGTGGAGACTGGTCTCTAGAAGAACACATATGCGTATACACACATGCATTTTTGCAGAAATAAAGTGACATTTTCCTCTTCTTTTCCTAGAGAATGTGAACAGATTTTTTTCAGACTTCACTGTAGAGCAAGACAGCAAGCAATTTCAGCTGAAATTAGTTGTTCAGAAAGTTACAAGTATGCAAAAAGGGTAGCAGTAACTTCTGCTGCTTGTGAGAGCCACAGTGATTTACCATCATTGATTTGCATAATACCATTTGTGGAGTCATTTTGGCTACAGCAGCTTAGCTGTAATTGGGTACGTGACTGTAAATCTAGCACATAAATCTCCAGGGAAATTAAAATCAAAAATAACTTACCAAATGAGTAATTAATGTCTTGTAATCATGACTTAGCACAATTAGATTAATACCTGAGTGAGCAGAGTCATCTTAGAAGTAATGCCTTCTTCCAGAGTTAATGGGGTTCATTAGAAAACGAGATGATGTGGTCTCTCACTATTGCAAATCCTGTTCGAGAAAGCCAAGTTGGAATTCCTTTGTCTGAATTTCAGTCTGAAATGCGACAGTGCTGTATCACAGCTAAAGTAAGCATTTC